ACCCTGCAACCCGTGCGGGCAAACAGCTCCGCCCCCACAACCTGCCATGTTCTTTCCACACTCCAGCATCTCACAACCACAAATGATGCAACAGCCCCCACCTCAGCAAACCATGCAGCCACATTCCTCAGCCTACGTTTCCGCCATGCAACATTTTTCCCCCACCATCCCTCAACAAACCATGCCGCAGCCTACCTCCCGCCCCACTACCACACATCACATTTTGCCCCGCAGGGCATCATGGCTACTCCACCTTCACCTTTACAGCACCAACACACCCCATTAAACCCTCCCAACATCACAAGCATCCACAACACACATCCAGCTCCATCTCCGATTCCCACAGACACCAATCCTTCAAACCCACCAGCTACAACAACACCAGCGCCCAACACCACAGCAAGTGATCAGGCCACTCCGGTTCAGCAAGCGACTGGATCTGGGGATACACAGCGCCCCGCATCTCCCCTCCCTCGCCGACGACATCGCTCCCATACTCGCAGCAGAGCACGAACTGCCAACCACAGCCAGCATCGACGCCACAAGCAGCACCACAAGCGTCACCAGCGATCTCACAGCCGCCATCGACGTGAAGACATCTCCGCCACCAGAAGACGACGCACCCGCCGACGCAGCAGGAGCAGGAGCAGTCGTCAGCCCTCGGGACCCCGGGCAACTACTGTGGTACTACAGCTATTCCACAGTGCAGGCCCACAGAGGCGACGAAGACAGGTGGCACTATCGAAGGGAGGATACACCACCAGCAAGACGATCGCAACGACTGCCGACTGCTGAAGCCGTGCCACAGCAGCACCACCGCCAGCATGACGACACTCCACGCAGCCTTGTCTCACAATTTCAGCGGGTGGCTCAGCAGATCAGGGGACAAGCCACGTCTTCCCACCAACAAGCACCACCAGCTCCTCCATCTGCTCCACGACCACTCACTACGACCAGCCAGGAGCCACCATCGATCATTTTTCAGCCACAACAGAGCATCGAGCAATTGCGGAAGGACCGCAGACCTCCGCAAACAGACATTATTCCGTTTTCGGAACTGTTCGAGAATCAGAAGCCCACGCCTCACGCAGTAGATGTCGAAGAAGCTCAAAAGCTGGCTCAAACTTTGATTGAGATTGCAGTCGACACCGACATAAAACACAACACGTTGTTTGAGTTCGCAAAGGGTGGCATATGGGGTGTTGCAATCCGGCACACGTTCGGCCTGTGAGGAGCTACATGCCGTCGTGACATCAATAAGCGACGGTGTCCATCAAATGCTGTTTATACCCTGGAAGGGGGAACAACGAAGACCGTTTGGATGCTCAGAACAAGAGTTGCCGGGGGATTCGTACGTATATACGTGCGGGCATGGGACAGATTTGGCGACTGCTGCCAAAATCATGAGAGAAGACCTCGTACGTC